AACACTCATCAGAGGAAAGGAAGACCCTTGTTTCAGAACAAACCCCTCAGTAGGACCAGCTAGGGAGGACAAGGTAAAGATAAAGACTACATCTCCAGCATCAACAGGTTAGATCCCTTGCACAAAGAACAACAGCTATACCATCAACCGTGAGATAACAAGATGATACCAGCAGAAACCAGGAGGCTTCCCACAGTTTCTGTATTACTATTATACCAGTACTGATCACAGCACTGATCAATTCAGTGTTTCCCCTCATCCTTCCCAGAACCTCTGGAGCCTAGTGATTGTAGGCATTCAAGTGGAAGATGATGCTGATTATTATTGCAGCATATGGGACTATAAACTCAGTTTATAGTCTGTGATCCATCTTTACAAGGAACTGATGCAGAAACCTTTTGCTTGCCGTACTGAGTCATGCATCGGTAGATGAAATTAATGAGAAACCACAAAGCGCTGAACACAATCGCCAGAACGCATGCATGCTCTTTGCAGTTACTTCTATTCCTATTTATATCTTCAGTTACCATCCAACTAAGACACACACACACACACACACACATTTCATTATCATGATGAGGAGGAGGAGGAGGATGGCTTTGTCATATCACATCGTAATATCTGGTTGTCCTCTGATTTTTAGTATTTCCATCTCTACAAAGCCTTTCAAAATTTCCATGATCTGCCCTGTCCATGCTACTGCTTTAACCATCTTCCAAGTTTGAGGAGAAGCCAAAACTGCTTTTCTGAGATGAGTTTGCATCTTCTGCAATACCGATGGGGAGCAAAATAGAAGAAAAGTGACTTTCTTGCCCAGTTGACCAGGCATTGATTGTTTTGGAATTGATTGAGAGCATATCCAGGTGGTGGTGTCCCTTTAAGGGACTAACCAAATATTCCTTCAGATAGAATATGAGTTCTGGAGAAGAGGTCTTGAATGGAGGTGTTGCAGTTTAATGCAGAGAGGAGGTGGGTGGGAGAAGGGTCCTGCTGGACCCTCTTCTCCCTTCTGAATTTCCCTTGCAATATGCTTCCACCCAGCACTTCCTCCTACTGGAGATTTGGAGCTTGTTCTCTTCTGAGTCACACCATGAAAGATGGAGTGGGCAGATATGAAAGAGGAATGGTGAGTGGCCACCCTAACCAGGCCTTCTCTGATGCAAATCAAGACTAATTTGTGTTGAATGTGAGGATATAAAACCCATTCCCCCTGCACTGAAATATACTGAACCCTATTTGGGCACACACACACAAAAACCACTCACTTACCCATAAATGCACTCTCACATTGACTACAACAGGACTCTCCTTTGCTGGTTTTGTTTGTCTTAAACTTTGGGTTTTTTAAAAAAACGATTCTATGGTTTTCAAGATCATCACTATGGCCCCCTTCCCACCCCTCCTTCTCGTCTACCTCCTTTAGAGTCATGAAAACGTGGGTGTAAACTTGCCATTTTCATTTGATGAAGACGCCTCTTTATTTTGGCCAAGAGAATCTTGGCCAATGCCAGAAAAATACCTTGAAGCTATAATGACATAACCAGTGGAGGTCAGGATTGCCACGTTTTCTAAACTTAGTCTGATACTTTAAGCCACAGAAGTGTTCTGGTTTAAGGATGCTGAGTATTCAGGTTGACAGTAGCAATAAGCAAACATGTTTTCCCCACTAGATAAGACTAATATCCATATGTTGGCCTAGTAGCAAGGCTGGTTTGTATCATAGAACACAGTCCAGAAGGGAGAAGCCCAGGAGAAAATCAACTACACTGAGAACGGGACATTGCTACTGAATCATGGCATTCTAATTCTTTGTTGTGCAGAAGCAAAGATGGCATTTATTCGCTGACTACCTTGTATGTGTTATTTCTCTTCCCAGGGAGCACAAAGTAGCAGAAACTGGGTAAAATGCAAAATGTAACAGAATGTGTGGGAAAGAGTTGTAAGGTTAATGAATTGAAAGAAATAAATGTTCCAGTATGGGGGTCCTATCCAGTCCTGAATTGGTCAATAAGGATCTGGAGAGCATTTCTTATATTCTGTTTCCTACTAGGTATCTTGATGAACTCTTCTGTAATTGTATGCAGTGGAACAAGGCTGAATGAGAACCATGGGTGAAGACAACCCAATGAGGTTAGTCGTGGAGTTTGGGTTTCATCCTAGGATTCTCCAGGTCTTGCTCTACACTCTGATTGGATCAGCTCGCCTATTGGTCTCTCAGCTCACAAATGTCATTAGTTGACCAACAGGGTACAGAAGTACACCTTTAGTAAAATGTACAATCCTCCTGTTTGGTAAGGACCGGGATCTGCATTGCTTTAAAAATAACCCGATTTGCATGCTGATTGTATTCCTCACCTCTGGGGTTTAAGAGAGACCTGGTAGAATGCCAGTTGGTCATCCTTGGTTGTCCAACATGGCTTGGATTCTTTTGCTCTTCACCATCCCGTGTTCCTTTGGTGAGAGCAAGAGAATCAGGGGGATGAGGGGAAAACCCTTTTGTTGATCTTTCACGTGGAATGCAGTGCAGGAAAATGCTGGGTGTGATTTGGCTGTATAGCGTAGTTTAACATTATTTCCCCTAATTCCACATTCTCTTTTTCCCCTTAATTCCATGTACTCTTTCAGGGGCCAGTATCCAGCAACTCCAGAGCCTGAAGAATCCAGCGTTTGTAGCTCCAGGTGGGACAATCACCATGTCTTGCAGCTATGATGGAGGAACCATCACAGACAACAACTACCCACGATGGATCCAGCAGAAGCCGGAGCAGGTTCCATGGCTCCTAATACATGCCACCAGCACCAAGGCATCAGGCATCCCAGCCCGCTTCTCTGGTTCCAGGTCAGGGAATGCCATGTCCCTGACCATCATGGGGGCCTTGGTGGAAGATGATGCTATGGTGGTACCTTGGTTCACAAACTTAATTCGTTCCACGATTCTGGTCGCGAGCTGAATTGGTCATGAACCGAATCT